ATCAATGGTCATAACTTTTTTTTTTTAAGAAGGACTATTTTAAACTGGTCAAAAACGGTTCCTAATTTGCTTTGGTTGAGCCTGGATCTTTCACAAAGAAACAGAATATAAAAATTCAGACTAATCCTTTTGGGGAGGGGATATATCTTTTTTTACTCCATGTGGAATTTGTTTCATAGAGATGATGATCATGTTAACTTCCATTGCATATCTCCATGGTGATCTCTGAGAAATATGGTTGGAGTGCAAATGTATATTTATGTGGAAAGGGTGTCTTTCCGTATCAAAACCAGGTGAAACTACATTGAATTCCGTAGAGTCACACTAATTCACCCCATCTTTGTGTCTGCCTTTACTTTTCATCTTGAGCAGTGATATGCGTATATATATATAGTTCTTGTTCCCTAAACTCTGTGAAGACTAGTAGTTAGTGTAGCGATATTATATGCCATATTAATATTAAATAATTTGGAGATGGTGACTTTGGAAATATTAACCTCATTGTAATGTAGATTTTTGCAGAATTTTTTTATGGGAACAGATTAATTATATTTAGTTCCTGGCATGGATCGTGATGATTCTGAGTGAATTTAGATTAATTCAGTCCAATGAAAGAACTAACTTGTGGCGTTACTATATGATCATTCTGTGTTGAGGTGTCATAAGAAAATAAAATATTCTACTTTGGAGTTTCAATTCATCCTTGAGTTGACTCCTCAGTCCCTGTCTTGCCTTGATTATTAATTTTGTTGCATAAAGATCTTTGCACAGCACTGGTGAGGCCACATCTGGAGTGGTGTTTCCAGGTCTGGGCTCCCCAGTACAAGACATTGACTTACTGGAGTGAGTCCAGCAAAGGGTCATGAAGAGAATTAAGGGACTGGAGCATCTTTCATGGGAGGAGAGGCCGAGAAAGCTGACACTGTTCAATCTGGAGAAAAGAAGGCTCAGAGGCACTTTATCAATGTCTTTAAATAGCTGATGGGATGGAATGAAGAAGAGGGACACAGACTCTTAGTAATGCCTGGCGGCAGGACAAGAGGCAATGGGCACAAATTAAAACCTGTGAAATTCCATCAGAACACAAAAAAAGAATTTTTTACTGCAGGAAGGATCAAACACTGAAATAGGGAGACCAAAGTGATTGTAGAGCCTCTGTCTGTGAAGGTATTCAAAATCTAGGTGGTCACCTTGAGCAGGGTGTTAGACTAGATGGTCTCGGGAGGTCCCTTCCCACCTCAGCCATTCTGTGATTCTGTGAGGCGGAGGAGTTGGGGGTGACATCCCTTAAGTATCTGTTCTACTTTATTTATATGGTGTTTTTTCACAATTATGGATCTGTATGTAGCTTATTGTAATGAAACTGGATGATTTTCACCTCTGGAATAAGTCACATTTGGGTCTTTCTTATTACCTTAATCAGCAAAAAATACATATACTATTTTAACCTGCCCCTGTGATCATCTAAGGATTAATCTGACATCACATAACTAATTTAATGCAATTTCACATTAACATTCCTGAAACTTACCATGATAAATTGGAAGCTTTTTTTTCCTGTTTGCATCTCTAAATTGATAAGCCCTTTCATCTTATGTACAGCTGTTCATACAAACTGAGATCTGTTGGAAGGTCTGACTTCCTCCTTTAAGCAGTGCCGTTGATTCATGGGCTTTACTGGTGTCTGAACAGGATGCCACTTATGTCACCATCTCTAAGACACAATCCAACACTGTCAGGCTTTCATAGTTTGGTGGGTATCAGTTGTTGATACTGAGGATGCTTAAAGCTATGCAGAAACCTCCTGAAGGACTAAGCAAAGAGTTTTGTATCTGGTAACCCATTCCATAGTACTCAAGTCCTACTGTAAAAAGAAGAATGTTATTCTAAATATTCAATGGGGTGTGTTGCAAATTTAGCAGGCATTTGAGTAGCTGATTTGGTAGACCAGTAAGTTCATCAGAGTATGTGCATTTTAATTGATGGAGTTGTATGGCACAAATGGACATGAGGGAGAGCTCTCAGGCTGTACAAGGAAACCATGGGCTGTTTGAATCTTGAAGGTCTCCATAGTTTGTGTCAGGTAGGGGAAGTTTTAATAACAGCTGATAACAATTGCAAAATGCACTTATCTGCTATTTTTTTTAATCAAAATACTGTTTGGAAAATTATTTATTTTTATTTTTCTGGTTTTATGTTATCGTCTGCTTTGCTGGTAAAGAACAGACAAGCAAGTTTACAGCCTGGTTAGTAGGCATTTCCGACATCGCTCATTACTTATGATACAGAGTTCAGTATTCTTAATTGCAGATCATTTAGTCTGACCGTATAGCCTCAGTATATGAGAAAGATTTTTAAAAATGCATGGAAATTGCTTGTTTCAGTCAAAAGGAGAGTCTGTTGAATTAATCCTGATTAATCACTAAATTCTTCCTGTTTTCAAGGGGGATATTTCTTAGTTCCATTCCCCGTGCTGGGATTTCCACAGCATCAAATTGAATTCTAGAACTTCCTTATTTTGCCCACAGAGTGTAGCATAGTAAGGTATCCCTTCTTTGTCGAGTCTTAGATATGTTTCCTCAGACAGGAATATTTTGAATGAGGAATAGTTCAAAATGCTTCATTCATCTTTAGAGATAAAATTGGCATGCAAATGTAAAACACTGTCAGGGAGAAGAAGAGCAAACCTTGTTGTAGGGAACCATTGTAATCTGCGGTTTGAATTGCTTTTGTTAAGTTCTTCTCAACTGCCAGATACTTTCTAGGGAAAAAAAAAATCCTGGTGTTTATATTATATAGTCTTCACCTTGTTTCATGACAATGTAAGGGAGATCCAACCACTGAATCCTGTCCAGGCTTTCATGGCAAAACTACATTGCGGGTGTTTGGGTTTTTGGGTTGGTTTTGGTTTTTTCCCCTCATGAACCTTAGATATTTTTATAGCCTTCAGTACATGTAGTTTGAGAGCAAGTGTTAAACTCACCTCTGTGGGTGGTGATTATTGGATATTATGCTATGGCTCTGACTCTCTGAAAGATCCATGCTACTAGAAGAGTTTGTAATTTGTGGGTAATAGATCTCTTCTTTGCACTGAGTCTTAAAATTTTGTCTTGGCTTCTGTTTTTATATTCCTTTTGTAATACGTAAACATGATGTTTTAAAGCAAAGAAATCAAAGGAAGAAAACCTCTCTTGTTCCATTTACAGAAAATCCTTCTGAATCTCAACTTTGGGTTGCTTAAAATGTTTTTTCCAGTCCTCCTTACGCTTTGGGAATCCCAGGATATGTCATCGTGAAACAATTAAAAGAGAAATATCTCTGAGCAAGAGACACAACAGCTTATTTCCCACCCTTGTGTGACATGATCTGTGTACTACAGGATCCAAGCACGTTTCAGTGGCTTCCACCTGTTGTAATGAACTACAGCCAAACCTCCCTTTCTGGACTGAGCCATAAATCTGTAATGTTGCGCCGTGGTAGCCTCGCTGGCAGGCAGATGGTCAGATCCACCCCAAATTACTGGCAGCCTTCTAGGTGGAAAGCAAATGCCAAGCTCATTAGACAAAGAGGTGTGTTTAGTTCTTTATGAAATAATAGTACTGTCTTATCTGGATACAGAATTGAGTGAAAGTGAAGTGAAAGGATCAGTAAAAGCATCTTAATAAATGTTTATAGGGGGCTCCTGAAGGCAGGAGCCTTCAGGTTCAGTGCCTGTAGTGTCAATAAGGAACTATTTTGAAAGAACTCCAGTAGGTGTCTTGCCAGATGTGAGTAAAGGAATTTGAGGCACTAGCACGTTGTCCACAGCAGCGTGCCACAGATTTGGGTTCCTGACTCCTTAATTAATGGAACAATCTGAACCTCAAGCACCTGTTCTGAAGGACCTTCTCCCTCCATATTTCATGGGGTTAT